ATCCAGGCCAACCCTGCCCTGGAGGCCTTCGGCAATGCCAAGACCGTCCGCAATGACAACTCCTCCCGATTCGTGAGTAGGGAAGATGGGTGGGGTTGACAGGGCGTGGTCTAAGGGGCATGGTCTACTGGGGGGAAGTGACCACCTTCTCCCTCCCACCACTGCTCTCTCCCAGGGGAAGTTCATCCGGATCCATTTTGGCGCCACAGGGAAGTTGGCGTCAGCCGACATCGAGACCTGTGAGTGGGTGGGTTTGAGGTGGGGTCGGGAGAGGCTGGGTGACTTGTCAATCTCCTTGCCTCACCCTCCATCTCCTTTGTCCCATCCCCAGACCTTCTGGAGAAGTCCCGAGTCATCTTCCAGCTGAAGGCTGAGAGGAACTACCACATCTTCTACCAGATCCTCTCCAACCAGAAACCGGAGCTGCTGGGTGAGCCACGCCCCACACTTCCACCCCATCCATGAACATCTGACCCCGCCCACTTCCCCACCTGGCCCCTGGGCAACTTCCTGCCCATCCCAACCCCATCTTCTCCCCACAGACATGATGTTGGTGACCAACAACCCCTACGACTATGCCTTCATCTCCCAAGGAGAGACTACGGTGCCATCCATCAATGACGGAGAAGAGCTCCTGGCTACGGACGTGAGATTTGGAGGGGGCCACCAAATTTGAGGGGTGGGGCTACCTGAAGAAGACCTTGACACCCCTATTTTTGCCCTTTCCAGAATGCTTTCGATGTCCTGGGCTTCACCCAAGAGGAGAAGAACTCTATCTACAAGCTGACGGGCGCCATCATGCACTTTGGCAACATGAAGTTCAAGCAGAAACAACGAGAGGAACAGGCAGAACCAGATGGCACTGAAGGTGGGGTCAAACTAAGGTCAAGGGCAGTAGGATTTTGGGGGAGGGGAACCGTACCGTTCACATCTTCTCCTCGGTGTTGTCAGAGGCGGACAAGTCAGCCTACCTGATGGGGTTGAACTCAGCTGATCTTCTCAAGGGGTTGTGTCACCCTCGGGTGAAGGTTGGCAACGAATACGTCACCAAAGGGCAGAATGTCCAACAGGTGAGAACGTCCCCAAAACCTGCTCCTTTTGGGGTGTCATCACCGGCAAAGAGGACGTCAAGAGCACTCCCAACCGCATCTCACAGATGGGCTGGTCCCTCTTCCAAGGTGATTTACGCCGTTGGGGCCTTGGCCAAGGCTGTCTACGAGAAGATGTTTAACTGGATGGTGACCAGGATCAACAATTCTCTGGAGACCAAGCAGCCACGTCAGTACTTCATCGGCGTGCTGGACATCGCTGGCTTCGAGATATTTGATGTGAGCCCTTGGTTGACCTTGTTGTGTTGACCCCATTGGGTGTTGAGTTGATCCCATGGATCCAGTTGGGTGTTGAGTTGACCCTGTTGGGTGTTGAGTTGACCTCATTGATCTAATTGGGCATTGCATTGACCCTACTGGGTGTTGAGTTGACTTTGTTGACCCCATTGCATGTTCGGGTGACCCCATTGGGCATTGTGTTGACCCTGTTGAGTGTTGAGTTGACCCCGCTGACCCTGTTGGGTGTTGTGTTGACCGCATTGTGTCTCAGGTTGACCCCGTTGATCCCACTGGGCGTCTCTCCCTCCCTCCCTAGTTCAACAGCTTCGAGCAGCTCTGCATCAACTTCACCAACGAGAAGCTGCAGCAGTTCTTCAACCACCACATGTTCGTGCTGGAGCAGGAGGAGTACAAGAAGGAGGGGATCGAGTGGGAGTTCATTGACTTCGGCATGGACCTCCAGGCCTGCATCGACCTCATCGAGAAGGTACCACCTCCCTCAGGGGCTCCTGGGGGCTGAGGGGGCTCCTGCAGAGGGCTCCTTCCACTCAGCGCTCGCCAGGGACCCCAAAAACAGCCACTTGGTTTGTGCTCGGTGCCCTCAATGGACAACAAGGTCTTCTTCTCCCCAGCCCATGGGGATCATGTCCATCCTGGAGGAGGAGTGCATGTTCCCCAAGGCCACAGACATGACCTTCAAGGCCAAACTCTTTGATAATCACCTGGGCAAGTCAGCCAACTTTGGGAAGCCACGAAATATCAAAGGAAAGCCGGAAGCCCACTTTGCCCTCATCCACTACGCCGGCACAGTGGACTACAACATCATTGGGTGGCTGCAGAAGAACAAGGACCCCCTCAACGAGACGGTGGTGGGGCTCTACCAGAAGTCAGCCCTCAAACTCTTGGCCAGTCTGTTTGCCAACTATGCTGGGGCTGATGCACGTAAGAGGAACGCCCTTCCCGAGCATCTGGGCTTTTCTCCACCCTGTCCTTGACCCATCCCATCCTGTCTTCTTCTCCAACAGCTGTGGAGAAGGGGAAAGGCTCCAAGAAGAAAGGTTCTTCCTTCCAGACCGTCTCCGCCCTGCACCGGGTAAGGGTCCACGAGATAATAGTGGAGCCCCAGGGCATGGTAGCTGTGGAGAACATGTCCTGGGGCAGGTTGGGGTCTTCATTCCCTCCATTATCTCCTCCTTCATGCTCCAGGAGAACCTCAACAAGCTGATGACCAACCTGCGGTCGACCCACCCGCACTTCGTCCGTTGCATCATCCCCAACGAGACCAAGTCTCCTGGTGAGCCAATCCAAAGGGGGTGGGTAGGCGCTGGTCAAAGGAGGTGGTGGTGGTAGTGGTGGTGGTGGCGGGGAGCAGCGCCATGGAGTTGACCTTGACCCACCAGTTCTGATGACCCCACCAGGCGTGATGGACAACCCCCTGGTGATGCACCAGCTTCGCTGCAATGGGGTGCTGGAGGTTCGGCCGCAAGGGCTTCCCCAACCGCATCCTCTACGGCGACTTCCGCCAGCGGTAGGCACTGAGGAGAAGATGTGGGGCAGGGAGTGGACAACCCCCAAATTTTGGGGTTGATTTTGGGGGTGGCCTCTCCTCTCTGGCCACCAGGTACCGCATCCTGAACCCTGCAGCC